ACTTATAGCGGGACTGCGGAGGACATTCTGACACTAACATCCCAGTGACACTAATACAGTGATCAGTGCTAATAAAAAAGCACCAACACTGTACTAATGGCACTGGGCAGGAAGGTGGGGTGATCAAACATCTGGGGTGATCAAAGGGTTAACTGTGTGCTGGGTGTTTTACTACTAGGGGGAGCGTGTTGGTGCTTCACTGTAAGCACACTGCTCTGGATGGCTGTGCTGTGCCCAAGCCAACAGGGAAGAGGACTGTTAGTAAACAAAACAGTCCTCCTCCCCGTTGGAGATGCTTGGCAATCACCGGGCGCCAGCAAGTAATCACCGCCGGGACCCGGTGATTGACAGCCGTGGCGTGGACAGGGCGTGTGTGGCTCACCCCCTACCCGGAAATGCAAAATCACATATCTATACATGACTTTGCACACCCTGCCACCCTGTAACAGTATATCTGCTGTAGGGCAGTCGGGATTTGGTTAAATTCCACCAAAAGAAAGCTCTATTTGTGTGAAAAAATGTATAAACATTTAATACGGGTACAGTGTTGCATGACCGCACAATTGTCATTCAAAGCGTGATAGCGCTGAAAGCTGGAAATTGGCCTGGGGGAAAGGGGGTAGAAGTACCAACAGGCATATGGCAATTGGACAAGCTGAAGCTAGAAGCTGATTGGCTGCCATGCACAGCTGCACCATATGCTGAGTGCTCCACTTTTAGTAAATCCCCCCACAGTGTTCAAATGTAGTTACAATTGATAATTACAATCTGCCTGTGAGGTACAGATAGTGTTCATTTTGGCAAACAGCTGCCCCCCAATTAAACAGGAGACAATTAGTAGGATTTTACAGTGCTGGAGGATCCAGAATAGAGCATCTAACAAAGGTAAACTGCAATGTGAATGAGGACATGAGATCCTTGTGAAGATGGTGCTTTCCCAATGTGTCTGAAAATCTGAAAAGACCATTCAAAGTTATGTGTAACCAGAGGGGGAATGACCATTTAAGCACTCGGGCACTGCCCGAGGGCCCGGGGTCAGTAGGGGGCCCCAATGAGATGCCCCCTGGTACCTTTCATAGGCTTTTTTTTTGCATGTGGGTGAGGACACAGGGGCCCCATGATTTCCTATTGCCCGGGGGCCCCATGAGTTGTCAGTCCGCCCCTGTGTGTAACCAAACATACATTGTAAAGGTTCTGGACCCCAGGATTCAGGTAGACAGTTTTATGTAAAACAAATGTTACAGCTACAGACTAAGAATCATTGTGTTGTCCCTGGAAATACTTCCTGAGATCTGTGAAAATTATGCTGTTCCATTATTATTATTATTATACAGGATTTATATGGCGCCAACGGTTTGCTCAGCACTTTACAATATACTGGGAGACAATACAGTTCAATACAAGAGGGTTTGAAGGCCCTGATCCTTGGAGCTTACAATCTAGGAGGGAGGGGCTAGTGGTACAGTAGGTAGTCACTGTGGGGGATGGACTGGTAGGAAGAGTAGAGGATTCCATTATTAGCCAAGGGCGGGATAGGCTTCCCTGAAGAGATCGGTTTTCAGTGATCGCCTAAAGGCAAGTAGAGTAGGTGATAGTCTGATAGATTGGGGTAGGGAGTTCCAGAGGATGGGTGATGCCTGGAGAAACTTGGAGACAAGCTCGGGAGGAGGCGATAAGGGAGCTAGAGAGTAGGAGGTCTTGCGAGGAGCGGAGAGGACAGTTTGGGTGATATTTGGAGATAAGATCAGATATGTAATTCCATAATATACACATCCCAATAGTTGTGGGTTGTCAGAGAACTCACCAGGATTTGTAGGGGTCCTATTCTCCTCTCTATGGGTTGCTGTAGACATGAATGTTGCACTCTGCAGATGAACTCTGACCTCTGGTCTTCCGGCAGTGTTGGGGTGAACATCAGACTGGCTGTACAGCTGTATGTGTTATCTGACCACCTCTGGTGTCCACTGATTACAGTCTTGTATTTATTGTTATCAACAGCCACAAATTTGTCTGTCTCCTTCTTCTTCTCTTATACCATTCTACAGTCAGATCATCCGGAAATATCCAGAGATCCTCACTTGTATTCTGGGATCAGTGTTGAGTTTTAGGTCAGAAGAGTTTGGTTCTTCAATCTGTGGGCGCCAAGGAAGATCTGGAAGGTAATTATGATTATTAGTCCCAAATAAACCAAATATTCTACAGACACAAGGACATGTAATCATGTTCCATTCCAACAATGTATCATTGCTATAATGCCATCATGATTTTATGTACTAAAGCCGTTACCGATCTCTCACCAGGAAGGTCAATGATACGCGTCTCTCATTAAACGAGGGCAGAAGAAATGCTGCAATAGGTTTTAAAGAAGGGAAGGTGACCTCTTTAGTTTCTCCTCTCCTGTCCTCTATACACTAATAAATATGTTGAGCTCATGTAATCTTTAATGTTATGGGGTTTGAATATTTCAGTCCATTACACACAATAGACAGAGGCAGGAACCCACTGATATGTATCAGCTGATGACCACTGATGGATGGTATGATATGTTTACAAGGGGTGACATATCCTGATCTTCTATGTTCTGACATACTAGCAGATGACTTGTAACATTGTTGTAACTTGTAACATTCTTCTTTGGCATGGAGAGACAAGTGACATCTTCCATGATCCTACATAATGACATAATGTGACCATGCTGCCCCTGACACAGTGACAAGCTGTGCTAATGCTGTTTTTGGACACGTGATGAGCTTTGTATTTTTAAGATCTTTTTCAGTATTTGTGAAAGTAAATCTACTTGGTGTCTGAGCACCACAAACCACAAATGGGATTTATTTGTTATATTGAAAGCAAACGTGTCCATCCATACATGTCTCAATGCTTTATTTTGCTGAGAAAATCACCGTGAAAAACATCTCCTAGCTTTCCTGGTTGTGACCATCGTAAGTCAGGGCAGATGATTCATGTAGCATTTCCTGGAATCCACCTGGCCCTAGCTCAGGCATGCATACAGGAGGGTGTGTAAGCTGAGAAGCTCATCCTTCCTTTTTCCTCCTGAAGACTCCTGGGATGTATGACTTCATTTGCTTAGGCCTGAAAACCAGGAACTGAAAAAATGTAAAAAAAAAGTTTAAAACAATTTTTAACCACTTCCAGACCAGCCATTCTATATAAACGGCCAGACGGTGGCAGTGCAGGTCGGGTGGGTGTTTATAAACGGCCCTCCCCGCTCCTGCTTGTGCACGCTCCCTGGAAGCGCGCAGCACCACGATCTGGTGCCTGCTGTGTCCTCCAGACACAATGGAACACTGATGGTCGGACGGGACCTCTGTACAAGGTCCCGATCATGTGATCACTGATTGGCCAAAGTAGTTCACTTGTGACATCATTGCTTACTGCGTGTGAAATTTGTGAATGTTCACAGAGATCACATGGTACAGGGCTATTCACAACAGCCTTGTACCATTTGACAAGCTGTGACCAATCACAGCTCACACAGTACTTCTCAATGACTGCAAGAATGCAGACAGAAAGAGAAATGATTGCTTTTTACATCCTATAAGTGTAAAAAAAAAAAAAAAAATCTTCATCACCCCCCACAAGTAGTACAGTGTCACCATGGTGACACTGTACTGCTAGGGTGACAGTATATAAAAAAAATAAAAATAAAAAAATATAAAAAATAAAAATATGTAAAAAAAAACCAAAAAATTATACTTTTTGGTTATAAACTAATTTGGATTTTTTTTTTACTAAAAATAACGGAATCAATTTTATGATTTATGATGAAATATTTGCAAAATTTTTATTTAAAAAAAAAACACTTTTCAAAATGTTTGGACATTTTCATTTACATTGCAAAAAAAATAAATCCCAGCGAGTGAATAAATACCACCAAAATAAAGTTTTATCTGTCTCAAAAAAAAATGGTAAAAATTCATATGGGTACAGTGTTGCATGACCGCGCAATTGTCATTCAAAGTGTGATAGCGCTGAAAGCTGAAAATTGCCCTGCTCAGGAAGGGGGGGAGGTGTCCGGACTGGAAGGGGGGGAGGTGGCCGGACTGGAAGGGGGGAAAACGTGTCTGGACTGGAAGGGGGGGGAAAGTGTCCGGACTGGAAGGGGGGGAAAGTGTCCGGACTGGGAGGGGGGGGAAAGTGTCCGGACTGGGAGGGGGGGGGAAAAGTGTCCGGACTGGGAGGGGGGGGGAAAGTGTCCCGGACGGGAAGGGGGGGGGAAAGTGTGTGGGGGGAAGGGGGGGAAAGTGTGTGGACTGGAAGGGGGGGAAAGTGTGTGGACTGGAAGGGGGGGAAAAGTGTCTGGACTGGAAGGGGGGGGGAAAGTGTCTGGACTGGAAGGGGGGGAAAGTGTCCGGACTGGAAGGGGGGGGAAAGTGTCCGGACTGGAAGGGGGTGGAAAGTGTCCGGACTGGGAGGGGGGGGGGAAGTGTCCGGACTGGGAGGGGGGGGGAAAGTGGTCCGGACTGGAAGGGGGGGGGAAAGTGTCCCGGACTGGAAGGGGGGGAAAGTGTGTGGACTGGAAGGGGGGGAAAGTGTGTGGACTGGAAGGGGGGGAAAGTGTGTGGACTGGAAGGGGGGGAAAGTGTCCGGACTGAAAGGGGGGGAAAGTGTCCGGACTGGAAGGGGGGAAAAGTGTCCGGACTGGAAGGGGGGAAAAGTGTCCGGACTGGAAGGGGGTGAAAGTGTCTGGACTGGAAGGGGGTGAAAAGTTGTCCGGACTGGAAGGGGGGGAAAGTGTCCGGACTGGAAGGGGGGGAAAGTGTCCGGACTGGAAGGGGATGAAAGTGTCCGACTGGAAGGGGGGAAAGTGTCCGGACTGGAAGGGGGATGAAAGTGTCCGGACTGGAAGGTGGGAAAGTGTCCGGACTGGAAGGGGGTGAAATGGTCGGGACTGGAAGGGAGGGAAAGTGTCCGGACTGGAAGGGGTGAAATGGTCGGGACTGGAAGGGGGGGAAAGTGTCCGGACTGGAAGGGGGGGAAAGTGTCCGGACTGGAAGGGGGTGAAAAGTGTCCGGACTGGAAGGGGGGGAAAGTGTCCGGACTGGAAGGGGGGGAAAGTGTCCGGACTGGAAGGGGGGGAAAGTGTCCGGACTGGAAGGGGGGAGGTGTCCGGACTGGAAGGGGTTAAAACAGTTTTTACCAATACTAGCAGCAGAAGGACTAAGAGAGTCCATGTTGATTGAGAGAGGGAAGTTCTGCTTTTATAGGCAGATAGATCTTTCCAGTATACAGCTTGTGTCCTAATTCAGAGAAGAGAAAGTATCTTATCCGGGTCCCCTGGAAGTAGCTTCAGTGCTCTACTGGACCAGTAAAAGCCCAAATCCTGAACTCGGTCGCCAACAGGACACTACAGGTGAAACTCGAAAAATGAGAATATGGTGCAAAAAGTTCATTTATTTCAGTGCAGCAACTTAAAAGGTGACACTAATATATGAGACTCATTCCATGCAAAGCAAGATAGTTCCAGCCGTGATTTGTCATCATTGTGATGATTATGGCTTACAGCTCATGAAAACCCCAAATCCACAATCTCAGAAAATGAGAATATTCCATGCAATCAATAAAACACGGATTGTTCATAGAACAATATTGCACCTCTGACAAGTAGAAGCTGCATATGTACTCAGTACTTGGTTGGGGCCCCTTTTGCAGCAATTACTGCCTCAATGCGGCGTGGCATGGAAGCTATCAGCCTGTGGCACTGCTGAGGTGTTATGGAAGACCAGGATGCTTCAATAGCGGCCTTCAGCTCTTCTGCATTGTTCGGTCTCATGTCTCTCATCTTTCTCTTGGCAATGCCCTATAGATTCTCTATGGGGTTCAGGTCAGGCAAGTTTGCTGACCAATCAAGCACAGTAATCCCACGGTCATTGAACCAGGTTTTGGTGCTTTTGGCAGTGTGGGCGGAGCCAAGTCCTGCTGGAAAATGAAGTCAGCGTCCCCATAAAGCTGGTCTGCGGAAGGAAGCATGAAGTGCTCCAAAATCTCCTGGTAGATGGCTGCGGGGGACCCTGGACTTAATGAAGCACAGTGGACCAACACCAGCAGATGACATGGCTCCCCAAATCACCACAGACTGTGGAAACTTCACACTGGACTTCAATCATCTTGCAGTGTGTGCCTCTCCATTCTTCCTCCATACTCGGGGTCCTTGGGCCTCTCCATTCTTCCTCCATACTCGGGGTCCTTGGGCCTCTCCATTCTTCCTCCATACTCGGGTCCTTGTGCCTCTCCATTCTTCCTCCATACTCGGGGTCCTTGTGCCTCTCCATTCTTCCTCCATACTCGGGGTCCTTGTGCCTCTCCATTCTTCCTCCATACTCGGGGTCCTTGTGCCTCTCCATTCTTCCTCCATACTCGGGGTCCTTGGGCCTCTCCATTCTTCCCCCATACTCGGGGTCCTTGTGCCTCTCCATTCTTCCTCCATACTCGGGGTCCTTGGGCCTCTCCATTCTTCCTCCATACTCGGGGTCCTTGGGCCTCTCCATTCTTCCTCCATACTCGGGGTCCTTGGGCCTCTCCATTCCATTCTTCCTCCATACTCGGGGTCCTTGGGCCTCTCCATTCTTCCCCCATACTCGGGGTCCTTGTGCCTCTCCATTCTTCCTCCATACTCGGGGTCCTTGGGCCTCTCCATTCTTCCTCCATACTCGGGGTCCTTGGGCCTCTCCATTCTTCCTCCATACTCGGGGGTCCTTGGGCCTCTCCATTCTTCCTCCATACTCGGGGCCCTTGTTTCCAAATGAGATGCAAAAGTTGCTCTCATCAGAAAAGAGGACTTTGGACCACTGAGCAGCAGACCGGGTCTGTTTTTCTTTAGCCCAGGTAAGACGCTTCTGACGTTGTTTGTTGTTCAGGAACGGCTTGACAAGAGGAATACGACATTTGAAGCCCATGTCCAGGATCCGTCTGTGTGTGGTGGCTCTTGATGCACTGACTCCAGCCTCAGTCCACTCCTTGTGAAAGTCCCCAACACTTTTGAATGACCTTTTCCTGGCCATCCTCTCCAGTCTGCGGTCATCCCTGCTGCTTGTGCACCTTTTTCTTCCACACTTTTCCCTTCCACATAACTTTCTATTAATGTGCTTTGATGCAGCACTTTGGGAACATCCAACTTCTTCTGCAATTACCTTTTGAGGCTTTCCCTCCTTATGGAGGGTGTCAGTGATGGTGTCAGGTCAGCAGTCTTTCCCATGATTGTGATTCCTACTGAACCAGACTGAGAGACCATTTAAAGGCTCAGGAACCCTTTGCAGGTGTTATGGCTGAATGAGCTGATTAGAGTGGGACACTTTGAGCCGAGATTATTCCACCTTTTCACAAGATTCTCATTTTCTGAGATTGTGGATTTGGGTTTTTCATGAGCTGTAAGCCATAATCATCACAATGATGACAAATCACGGGCTGGGAACTATCTTGCTTTGCATGGAATGAGTCTCATATATTAGTTTCACCTTTTAAGTTGCTGCACTGAAATAAATCAACTTTTGCACAATATTCTAATTTTTTGAGGTTCACCTGTATGTGAATGTTTTTAGTTTTGTTTTTTTCTGATACTTGTGTGGATTTCCTTGGTGGGATCGTGTTTTCCATCCAATTCAAAGCACATGGAAAGGTTCATTGTCTCCTGCCCAAAATGGCCCAAATGTGTATGGCTTTGGCAAGATCATTATAATATAAAGGCCATTGGCAGAAGATTGGCAATATCCTCCTGCGCTCAACTATGTGATCACTTATTATGATAAGTAAGCTGCTATCACGTAACCCCAGGATAAAACAAATATGAATACAAAAATTGGTGAAGCGCTAAGCAAATAAATAAAATATAAATATCAAATTTGTGAATGAAAAAACTCCAACCATAAAGTGACACGTGCTGAAATATAAACCTAAAATTCTGAAATAGTGACACGTGCTGAACTCAAAAATTAATACAATTCAAACTCGTGACACTGACACACCTAAACAAATTTTTTTAAAGTGACAAAGTGCTCAAAATCCTAGTGAGAAAACCAATATCTGGTCTGCCAATAAATGCTCACCAGACGAAGTGACATACAAACCACAATAAAATTATTAAAATGTGATAAGTGTTTAAATAGTCATTTTAAAACAATATATTATGTGCAATAGATAGTGATCAGTCCAATCCAACAGTGTTTCAATGATCCGTGTACACTTGCCCGGGGGGCCCCATGAGTTGTCAGTCCGCCCCTGCTTGTGTGGGAATACTGTGGCCCTGTGGGGTCGATGTTGGGAGGTGAGGAGGCATGTTACCCACTGAGGGATAAGTGTCACTGAGAGCACAAGCAAGTGTACACGGATCATTGAAACACTGTTGGATTGGACTGATCACTATCTATTGCACATAATAAATTGTTTTAAAACCGACTATTTAAACACTTATCACATTTTAATAATTTTATTGTGGTTTGTATGTCACTTTGGTGAGCATTTATTGGCAGACCAGATATTTGTTTTCTCACTAGGATTTTGAGCACTTTGCCATTGGCAGAAGGACTGATGTGATGGTGTACATACTCTGCGGAGTGAACTGTCATAATGATATAAATTATTTAGGTAAATAAAACTTTACATAGCAATCTCGTATGCTGTTTCTAGGAACTTGTTTTATTCTTCTGTTCGTATATTTTTCTGGATCTGCATGTGTGCAATAGTCCAGTCCAGCATTCCATTTCTCTAACCTGAAGATGTAGTCTATTTCTAATACAAACATAACATTTTCCAGTTGATGTTTCATTGGGGATTGTACCGTATAAATGTGCAGGTATAGTACTGTAGGGAACTGTTATTTTATACACTAGTTGTGGTTTGTTTACATTCATATACAGCCACTACCATAGAGGTCCCATTACAGACAAGTCCCTAGGTGTGCTTCCTGCCCCTGCAAGGAGGTCAAGAAACCCCAGGATGTTATATAGTTGGTTTTCCAGGAAGTATCAGGCAGAGGGTGCCAGCCTGCCATGTGCTATGTATCTGGGGAGAACTGTATGGGGATTCTGTGAGTAATGATCCAGATTAACAAGGCTGCTATCTATCTAGTTGTTACTGAAGCAGATTAGGTCTGCCTCTGTTATATTTCAACTTCTGTATTGGAACCCTAATATCTCTATAAGAGAGAGATTTGTGGTTGATTATCATTATTCTATTTACACTGCAGAATCCTTATAGTTGTCTATATATATATATATATCCGTGTTTTCAGCTGCATAAGACTGTCAGGTGAACTTTCTGTTAATTGCAGTGTATCTTTGCAGCCTCTTTGCTTAAAGCCATAGCACCCTTATTGGTCTGGATCTCTCTTTAGCTGGGATTAGCAGAGGGAGCGTTGGATAGATTAGGCTAGAGGTAGGTTAGGCATCCGACGGCCACTTACACAGATAGAGGCCCGGTTGCAGTGACAGCCCAGTTCAGGGATAGGGACTAAGAGTGAGGACAGATAGGGCATTTTATCCTTTTAGGTGATGCATCGCTGATCTTCAGACAAGCCGTGCAATCATCCGCATAGAACATGTTACTTGGACGCCATCGCAGCATCTAAAGTGGAAGCGTGCATCTTATGGACTCTCACCTCTCCAGGGGCCCCTGCAACCGGACTGCGCTATAACCCATGGTTGGAGGTATTCTGTATACTACATGCACATATACCCGGGTATAACTGCAACCTCCCAATTTATGGTAAATTGTAATTCCTGAATGTTATTCTTATGCCTCCTGTTTTATGTGGCTGCTTTATATAAACTTTGCATTAATCTCATACAGGTGGGTGACATGTTTCCATGTTAGAGATATAAGCTGGGGGCATTAATACTGCTATGTATAGTTACTTTAAGTTGTCTACCTGTTACATTCCTAGAAAGGGGGGAGTCTCCTCAATTGCAGGATCCCTATTCTAGGTGGAGGCACTGCCATTTGTATTATCACAACCCCCTCTTCCATATAGCGAAGGCTCAGGATTGCCTACTCATATACAGGTTAGCGCCATAGCTTGTTTGGTGTGCGCCATTTCACATAACCCCCCCCAAAACAGGGCTACAGTAGAATACTTCTTACATGTGAATGCCATTTTCATTACTAGAATGTAATTAGTAACAAGTGATCT